CCAGGACAAAAGAAGACAGCCAGTGAACCTGGTGAGAAGCAAGTTCAGTAGTAAGGCATGGGAGCTTTCCCTACAGCTATGGTCTCCTCTCTCTAGTCACAATCAAGTCATGAAATGCAGGCACTACTTTCCCTAGCCCTGGTCTCCCCCAGCCCCCTCTACAAGAGGAACCCATTCTAACCCACCTCCTTCAGGTGCGCCCCCCCACTGCCTGAACTTGCTCAAGCGTTATGATGTACTATTTTGACCATAACAGACCTCTTCCTACACTGAACTGACTTACCCTTCTCCCTCACAGGACTTTAGCTCTTTAAGGACAGGAAACCTGTCTTGTTCACCTGTTTACACTGTGCCTAAGCCCTGATATTTGCAGAGAAGACCCACAGCTGCTAGACCGACGAATGGACTGGAGCATACAGGACCAAGAATGGAGAATAGAAGGCAAGATTAACTGGGGGGGGGGCAGGGAGGACACGCAAAGGGCTAATACAAAAATGTTTCCGTTTCCCTAAGCAGAAAATTCAGGCACGACTAGCAGGCCAGCAACAGCATTACAGATGGCGGCCCTTTAAATGACTCTTAATTCCTAGCGGGCCTAAAATGAGACCACCACTTCAAAACCCTTCAGAACTGGCTCCAGGTGATGCCACATCAGTGTCTTAGAGACGCTTTGTCCCAAGGTTGTATGTTTTAATACTCTGTGAAGGACAAAAGTTAAATAATGACTGAATTTCCAAAGGGTTTATGCAAAACATGTAAGTACTTAATGTATTTATCTCCACATATACAATCATCTCTTGGAATGAAGCAAGAATCTCAGAAGCACTTAAATGGAAAAGGTCAGCTTTTTTTTAAGTGGAGGAAAGGATTGGAAATGCCTCAGTGGTTTAGAGCATTGGCTGCTCTTCCCAAGGACCCAGGTTCGATTCCCAGCACCCTCATAGCAACTCAATACCACCTACCTGTCACTCCATTTCCACAGGATTTCTTGTGGCCTCTGTGGGCACCAGAAACACACAAGGCACAGGACACACAAACAGGCAAAACATCCATAAAATTAAAATTCATATTTTAAACTATTGTAGCAAGTTTTTTATCTTAAATTATGTATGTCACTGTTGGAAAACACCTTTCCAGGGTCTAAGAACAAGACTTCCAAGACAGCCCTTGATTTCACCTTCCACACGATCTGCTGAAAAGAATACTTTGCTGCTGTAAATTCCCAGTCATGAAGATGAGAATGCAGAGTCTTCCTCCGCAGCTTCCTGTATTAACTCAGGTCCTTCAGGCCAGAAACCAGCCACCTAGACAGCACTGAATGCAATAGTGTGCCAATTTGATTTGTTTCAGAGTCTATGTTAAATCAGCCAGACCTGGGTGGAAAACAAGCAGTCCCAGGAAACTTCCTGAGAACATTAAACAGAGGATACCTCGGCTCCTTCCAGTCCTAACATGTAAGGAAATGACTTCTCCACCGGGGGCCCAAGAGCTGAATCTGAAGATGTACCCCTGGAAGGCGGAGCTATTCAAATAAAAACCTTGTTACTTGGAACACGCCTTGTGAGCATGAGTTTAACTCACCGGTCTACTGATACATGATGGGAACTCAATAAAGACACATCTAGAGACTACTTACCCTCAAAAATGAATTCACAGGTGGCCCAAATGACTTTATGAAGGGCCCCCCAACAACCTTACTTCCCTACACAGTGGGGGTGTAGAGAAGACCCTGGCTCATTTAAGATGCTAAGTTTTCAAGAAATGAGCACACGAGGGAAAACTTTTAAACGAAACTTGTACTAAGCTTGAAAAATACTGGGAGTAGCATCATTTTTCTAAATCATGGTTTAAATATCTGTGTCTTAAACTTTTGAACAAGGAGAGAGGGCAAGTTCTAACTGCTTGATCAGAACAGTGATCCCAAGACACTAGAAATAACCTAGAGTGAACCAATAGAACACAAACTACAGGCAACAAATGGAGATGTGATTGGATAACATAGCTACAACTCTCAGACTGATGTGAAGAACATCACCAGTCCTTAGTATTAATACATAAAAACATGTCCTCAAACTATTAAATATAGAATACACGAAGCATCAGAAGTCAATTTTTACAAAGTACGTGTCTTATAAATCTTTTCTAATTGAAACTGTCTCTGCAAATTCCCAGTTTTTTTTTTTTAAATCTCTACCAGGCACTCGGGAGTTGCTTAACAAAAGCCACTTAATGAAACCATAGTGCAGGCACATGAAAAAAAATTAACTACATAGGAAATATTTGCAAATTTACTTTGCTATAGCACACAATTGTCTCCTTGTTTCCAAGGCCCTGCAATTCCCATCAGTGGGGGGGTGGGAGTCTTAAAGACAACGAAAGTTAGCTTCCTAAAAGAAAGCGTGGTGAGGACTGTGAAGCAGACCCTCTTTATAAAGACCTGACAAGTTTATCTTGCAGAAAACAGACAAGACAAGTTCCCGGACGCACAATTCCCCGAGGCTTAGCCTAGTCAAAAGAGCCGCATTCAACCTCGGCGCTGCACTGCTCCGGGCACACAACATCTCAGAAACTCTGCGACTCCATTTCAAAGATCCCACGCTCAAGTGATCGACTCTGCTTTCATCTCAGTTCTTGAGAAACGCTCCAAAGCCGAGACCGACAGGAGTCGAACCAGGAGCGGGTACTCGTGCACCCGGGTCAGACAGTCTGGCGCTGCGTGGAATACCCCGCTGGTCCCGGAACCGCAGCGCCCGTCCCCGACTCCGCAATCACCATTCCCCGCACGTCCCTCCGCTCCCTCCTCCACCCCTCCGCCTCCGCATCCTGGAGCGGCGGTCCGCCACTCAACTCTGCGAACCGGGGCAAGGAGACCGGCTCCAGCCCCCGCCACGGTGCAGCCGGGGAAAAGCGTGGGAGGGAGGACACCCACCCGGGGCCCCGGGCTCAACTCCACACTCAGCAAACTTACTACAAAGTTGGCTCCAAGTAGCAGCGCTGCGGTCGGGCGCACAGCCCGGGTGCTCAGCGCGCCCGGGGGCGGGAGACCGCTGTGCCGGGAGCCGCACTGGGCTCGCACGTCCGCATGGCGCCGCCGGCCGTCCAAGCCCCGCCGCGTCCAGCCTGGCCAGCGTGCCCAGTTCCCCGCGGTGTGTATCCCTCCGCCCGCGGCCACGCCTGCCTGCGCCGGCTCTCGTTTCTCCAGCGCCGAGACTCGCTCGGGGATTGAGCGAGTGCAGCTCGAGACCGCCCCGCCCCGGGTCAGACGCGCCCGGGGACTACCGTGATCGGCGTCCGGCGTGCCGCAAGGCGAGCGCCCTCGAGGAGCTCGCAGGACTGCCAGAGGAGCAGTCTGGGGACTGTTCTAGAAAGTCGAGCTCTGCAGCAGCGCGGGCTTTTATTGGATGTTCCCTGCTAGGAGAGGGGAAACATTTATTTACCCCCCCCAAAAAAAGACAGTAAAGAAAGGGCGGAGAAAACACCTCAGGCGTAAGGGACACCCTTCCCCCTCCCGCCACCAAGCATCTCTTTAGACTTTTCCCAACCTCCAGGAAATCCCCAAATCGGCATTTGAATGCCTCGCTCCGAGTCTGCAGCCACCGGAGTGAAAAACTACTGAGGGTCTGGAAAGGAATGCAGTTAGGTCGGAATTTACTTCCTCCTGAAATCCACATTAGGACCGGGGGCGGGGGTGGGGGGCGCAAGGGGAGTGCGTAAGTTTTCCCGAGACCTGTTAATGCAGACTTGGTTGGACCTCAGACCCTCGTGGACCTCCGGGGCAGGCGCCCCCCCCATCCCTCCACCCCCGAGCCTATTAGATTAGGACAAAGGCAGCTGAGACTCCCTGGGCGCATTCTCAGAGCTTAATTCCGCCCCAAGAGTCCCGCGTTCTGAGATCCCGACCCCACAGCTACAAGTTCTCCAGGGAGAATGGGAGATTCCTGGCTAACAGGCGCCCCACTTGCAGAACTCCCTCTGGCGCCCGAGCGCCCAGCCAGCGCATCCTAGGGCTGCGAGTCCATCCCCGGCGTGGGCAGAGCTCCAGGTACCGGCCGTAGCGCAATGGAGAGTCAGCCGAAGTCAGCCTCGCTTTGGGACGCAGCCCCGAGAAGAGGAAGGACTTGACCTCGGAAAGTTTGTGGGGCTCGAACATTTTAACGCCGCGGCCACGAAGGGATCAGAGTTCCCTAGGAGCGGGTGGAAGAGACTGCAGGGCGAACTGCACGGCAGCCGGGGGCTAGTGAGACTAGTTAAGGGAGCAATTCTTTGGCTCAAAGTTAATGCCACTTCTTAAGCCACCTTAAAGGAAGGTGGCTGAAAGTAACAGTAAGAATAATAATGGTGCCTAGCAGGTTACGCTTAGGAAGAAAAAGTAGTGCCTGCAGAATGAGTGTGCTGATTCCATTCCCCGCTGCTCACTGTTTGTAGCAAACACAAATTCACAACACCCAGCAAATACGAACATCATCATAACCCAAACCCTCGTCTGGCCGCGCTACAACGGCGCAAAGTGCTCGCCGAGTTACGGTCCCTTCCGTACCCGGAATGCTGCGAAAGTGAACGACCTGATCTCCAAGTTCAACCGGTTTGCGACCCTCACGGAATTTTAACTCTCAACAAAACACAGCCACACAAGAAAGCCAGCCGTTGGGGGAGGGGATGTGAGAGGGCCTGGGGTAGTGATGCTAGGAGAGGGAAGAAAAAATAAATAGTATAAAAACACACCATTCCATAACATTAAATCGCAGGATTTTCTAAAAGGTACAAAGGAATTCATGAGACAATTACCATATTCATATTATATATATATATATGTCTTGTTTACTAGGAACAAAAATATCTTCTTAAGAATCCTAACTATCCAGGCTCACTGATAAACCTCACTGCCTGGAAGAAGTCGCACTTGGTCGTTACAGGACACACTGAAAGCCACAGATGCAGTCTCCTAGGCTGCCACATTTTGCTAAGTCTTTAGTCACCAACGAAACGAAATGGAGAGATACCTTTTTGGCTTCGAGCGAATTGCCTTCATATGAAGAGAAGTGCAGTTCAAGTTCCACGGACATCCTCTAAATAGTCCATCTTCCTTGACCCTGTCCCCGGAGCATCATGGAAATTAGGTGGAAGGGGGACTGTTCCCCCTAGAAACATTTCCCCCAGCACGGCCGCTGCACCCAGTCCACCCAAGCCGAGTTTTGGAAATGTATTAAGTGTGGACCGGTGCAAATGAAGGCTGGGGTGGAAGCAATGGAGCTCTGTCTGGTCCCCGTCGTTAGAGTGCCAGGCAGGTCCAAGTTCGAGGTCTGCACTGAGCTAGCTAAGAGCTGGGAGCGCGCCTTGCTGGATGCTCGGACTAGAGGGCGCTGCGCCACTGCAGATCACCCAGTCCCCAACGCGCCCTCCCTGGGCACCATTTCTGTAACAAGTTACACTGAAAATAATGCACAAACGGCTTCGCTTCTCAAGTTCTTTTGAACAGCGCTCCGTGTGTATTTTGTGAATTCCAAAAGCTGAGCAAGCTTGTCTTACATTCCTGCGCCCCTTAAAGGGAATCCAGTTCCCTGAGCGCAGACCCTGCAAGATTCCCCCATGAATTTCCCCACTCACTTAGAGCGAAACACCCCCCCCACACACACACACACGTTATCTCATTTACGTTTAAACTTAAATTCTACAAGGCATGCACTGAACAAAGAACTCACCACAGCAGCCCGGTCCTCGATGCTCTTCCTTACAGTCCCCGGCAGTTGGGTAAATCCCACGCCGTTTGGATTTCTGTTAGGAGCCGGGCTCGAAGCACCAACTTTGCCTCCCTTGGATCAATCTTCAGCATATCCCCAACCAGAGTGCGAGCCTCCAGTGCTGTCGGGACTCAGGTGGTCTCATTTCCAGTGGCTTCTGACCCGGGGAAAGTTTGAGCACCAAAAGAGGTGGAGAGAGAGCGCGCTGCACGAGGTCTGGAGAGAGAAGAGAAGGTCTCGAGGAGAAGCCAAGTTTGTCAGGACATGTCCAGGCAGCCAGCTGCCGAGTTGAGGAGTTACGGCCGGCAACTGCGGCGGATCTCTGCCTCTTTTTCCCCACTCCTCCCTCCAGGAGCGGCTGGGGGAAGGGAGGTGACGTCAAGGCTCCGCCTCGCCCCCGGCTCCCGGGCTCTTGAAGGGGTTCTCCGGCTTCAGTCGGCCTCCCAGCCAGTTGTAGCTGCGGGCGACCAGGCTGCTGCCCGCTCCCCGGCTGCTGTGATCTCCCTGGTCGCTGACGTCCCCACGAGGAAATGCCCAACCCTCTCCTCCCCGCCGAGTCCTGGAGCTCCGCCGAGCGCAGGCTACCTCGCACTCAGCACCGGATCAGCCCGCCAGGGCAGCCCCCCTTCCCCGTTGCGCTTACCTCCGGGGCTTCCTAACCCGGTTGGGCAGCGTTTCCCACGCCTCGGACTGCAGGTGATGCTCTTCCCCTTCTGCAGCTGAAACTCGTCGCAACGTGTCGCCTGCCCGGGTTTTCACAGGGCGGAAGCGCAATCAGTCTCTGCAGGCTTACTGGACGACTCGGACTTCGTCGTCCTCCAACTTCTTGAGATGTGATTTTTTTAAATAATTCTTGTTGTCTATCGCTGCTTGTGGTCTTTGTGTTGAAAATCACAGAGTCGTATTTTTTAATCTCCAAATCCTTTGCAAATATGCCTGTCTGTAGACCTAGTCTGAATCATAGATTCCGAGGGGTAGGGGGAAGAGACGGGGGCGGAGCCAATTTTTAACGTGTGTTACTAGTGATCTGTAGTGATAGTGGTGGCTAATACACAAATCAGTGGTCTACACCTCGAAACCACATAGATTTATAAAAATGCAAACCCTGTTGAAGCGTACATTATAAATGAACGCGTCGCTTTTATATAAGCGTCCAGGCTCCGAGAAAATATCTGCTTTGGGATTTTTTTTTTTTAATGCCACCGAACTCCCAAAATGCATCTCCTGAACAGAATGAAATTCTAAGGGAGCCATTTATGTAAATTGACACTGCCTCAAAATATTGCGAGTAAACTGTAAGGAGCCCGGAAAGGAGGGGGGGGGCTGGAGTCAGTTTCTATCAACATATTTTCATCCGTTTACGTAAATGTATTGGTCTGTATAGCTTTGAGAGGTTAAGAGCAAAGGGGTGTCAAACAGTAAGGAAAGGGATGATGGGGGCTGAGTGCTGTGTGTGTGCAGAAGCTTGAGGACTGCTCCAAGCTCCAGTGAACTCCCCCGCCTGAAGTATAGGACCAATGTCTGCTTCACATGATAAAAACTGTACACTAAAAGCAAACCTTACTGGGTCTCATCTGTTTGCCACACGGATAACATCCATTCGTGCAGACAACATGCTCTTACTGAGCATCTTAGTATCTAGCGAGCACCTAAAAGGTACTTCCTATCGCTTCACTTGCTCTCCTGAGCCCCATATTTTCTTTTGCAGTCTGGGGTTTCTTGTAAGGAATGGGGAGGCTTTGGGAGGCTAGGGGGAAAAAAAAAAAGAGGGATAGAGTAGAGTCTCCGGCATACCCAGGAGCAGCCGCAAAGCGCCAGATTCCTGCGAGGGGTGGGGAAGCAATCCAAGGGAAGACTGTTTTGTCAAGCAAGCCTGTCAATGCCCAGCCCACTTCTATACTTCAATGTGGCAACTACGCATGCTCAGCACTCCTTTTCGGACCATAGTTGATGTTCGAAATTGACCACATATAACAAGTCCTCAAAACGACGCGAACTCTCCCGAGGCGCTGTAACTCGCACCAGTCAATTTGGCTTGATATACCAGACTTTAGAGTTGCTTAGGCAAGCCAAGACCTTTCGATTTTAAAAGAACACAGAGAAATTTGCGTTTTATTGATAGTAGTAGTTCTTAAAAATAGCTCGTTTCAAAAGAGGTTTTTGAACAAAACCCTTTGACCTGACCCATGTAGTATATGTGAGCTAGCCATGTGTGGCTTCTTGGATTTAAATGAAACTAAATTAACATTCAACTTCCTAACTGTCTATCACAAGTTCAATACTCACATTTGGCTAGTGGTTTCTGTTCCAGTCACCATAAATTTAAAAGTATATCGATTACGATAGAAATACCGTGTTATCTATCTTTAAATTTTTTGACTTTTTTTAGGCTGTCTCATGCATTAAATCCCAAGTACTGAGTCACTTCTAAAGTATGGGGGAGGGGGCCAGAATCATGAAAGGATTCACCCATTCAGCAAATATTTCTCAAGTACCAACAACATGTTAAATCAAATTATGTAAGACTCAAGAATCCTAATAGGCGAGGTATGTTTAAGTGATTAAGAATATTAACGCGGCCTTTTAGCTGTTATATATCCTTGCTGAGTACAGAATACAGGGCAAATTGTAATTTTAAACAAGACAGCGTTCTACGTTGCTTTTAGGAATAGCCGTAGAATCAAAGACTTCTCCTTAAGCCTGACTAACTTTTGGCTCCCACCCTGTAGTTTAGTCTATGCGGATTTCAGGTCTGTCCTACTCCCTTTGTCCCTTCTTCACCCCTGCCACACACACACATACACGCACGCACGCACGCACACACGCGCGCAAGCACACACACACATCTGGGGATGGCAGGAAATGTCTCCCCATGTCCTCAAACATTATTTTATCCTTTGCATTCAAATCCAGCTCTCCTTTGGGGTCTGTTTGTGCTCTTCAAAAGAGACCTTGGGCCACACAACTGCTCAACCTGGTGAGCTGCACTAAACTCCAGACCTGTTGGTGTATTGATGTTTCCCCTCCCTTCCCAATTCAGAGGAAGTAGGACTTTCTTAAAAGTATATCTTAATGATAATCTGATGAAATTTTAGAGGCCATAAGCATTCAGTCAGGAAAATACATGGAGGCATTGCCAATCATTTGTTGGTGGCTATTTGGTTAAAAAAATACAGAATATATCTTCAGTTTATTGAAAAATACATAGTGAAACAGTGTCATTCTCCTGAAATTCACCTTGCCACTCCCAGGTCAGCTCTGAAGCTTTGCAGCATCAGCAACAATCAGCAACATTGTATTTATCTCAGAGCAACTTTACTATGGTAGTATTCAAGATGCACACAATGTGAAAAATATAATGAGAATATATGTTTGTATTATATACATATATTCTTGTATATTCTCATATATATACATGCACACACATATACATACATACATACATACATACATACATACATACATACATACATACACACACACACATATAATCCATTAATTCTTACAAAGTCTTTTATGGTTAGACTTTAAAATGCTCCCGTAGACTTCTGTTTTAAGTTCTTCTGTGGTTAGTGGTGCTGTTTTGGGAGGCTGTGGAAAAGGTATTAGATACAACCTGGCTAAAGGGAGCAAGCCACTAGGGGCAGCCCTTTGAGCACCACAGCCCAGCCCCTGGTTCTGGCTTTACTCTGTGTTGACACCAGGATACGGGCTCAGCCACTCTATTCCACTGAATGGACTGACCTGTTCTGCCATGTCATGATATACAGCAATGTCCTGGAACCTTGTGCTAAAATAAATCTTTCTTTCCTTAAATCGGTTCTGAAAAGTCCCTAATACAAAATTCTAGAAGGCATTAGTCATTAATCCCCTACCCTTGTTTCACAGATGAGAAACTGAAATATAGAAGTATCTGGTAGATACAATAATTCAATCTTTGGGACTAAAACCTTCAGCTGGCTGGCTGCAAAGCCAACATTATTGTCAACTGTCATGCAGCGTAGCTTCTTGGAGTCCGCTCCTCATCTGCACTCTTTATGAACCGTGGCTGCTTTACATTAAGGATCAGCAACGTCGTAATTTGAAATCCAGCCTGGAAGGGGGTTAAAAAAAGCTTATCAAGTCATAGCCAGAGAGACATGCTCCTTCCCAGCAGTAGCTCTGCTGAATGTGGGTAAATAATTCCTCACGAGCGGAAAGTCCCTGATTGTGTTTAGCAGTATATGTGTAATGCATCCATTATTTGTTTGGATTACTTATTTTCCTAGGTAGATATGCATACACTTACGCACGTTGTTTTTAAATTCAGAATCACCATCTGGCTTTTAACTTGTTCAGGCTGAACAACAACAACAATAAAAAATCCCCATGATTTTCAGTGAATTCTGACAAGGACCATCACCACTAGCATTTTAATTTTTTATTTTTCATTTCATGTTCTTAGTCTGTATTTTCTGGTGTTCCTTTCTTTTTTTTAATTAAGTGAGTAAGCAGAATAATTCTCTCTCTCTCTCTCCCTCTCCCTCTCTCTCCCTCCCTCTCTGTCTCTCTCTGTCTCTGTCTCTGTCTCTCTCCCTCTCTCTCTCCCTCCCTCTCTGTCTCTCTCTGTCTCTGTCTCTCTCCCTCTCTCCTCTCTCTCTCTCTCTCTCTCTCTCTCTCTCTCTCTCTCTCTCTCTCTCTCTCTCTCTCTCTCGGTAGGTATGTGGTAGTTTGAATGAGAAGTTTCCGTATAGGTTCATGTATTTGAACTTTTTGGTTCCCAGTTGGTGGTCCTGTCTGGGGAGGTGTAGGAGATGTGGCCTTGTTGGAGGATGTGTATCATTGGGGGAGAGCTCTGAAAGTTTAAAGCCATTTCTAGTTCACTCCATCTGATTTATGTTTACAGCTCAGTGTGTGAGCTCTCAGCATGGTACTCCACCCACCGTGCCATGATGAACTCTACCCCTCTGGACCTGTAAGCCTAAATAATCTCTTCTGTGAATTGCTGGGTCGTGGTGTCTTGTCAAGGTGACAGAAAAATAGCTAATACTATATGGCAGGTAGTTTTACCCTAGGATTATTCCCCAACGGCACATTTGTGCTTCTAGATCCCATCTCTTATCTTGGTATCACTTTTAAACAAATCTTGTACAGAAACTCTCAGGACCTCACTTGTGAAATGGGGTATTGTGATGTCCTCCATGTCTATTCTCTAACAGATGGCATATCTAAAGGAATGATAGGAGCTCTGCACTCCTCACCACAGGCCTGTAATCAGTTGTAGCCAATGAGATGCTAGAGGAAACATGCTGGAACCTGGGGGGGTTGTATAGAT